GAACGGTCAATAAGGAATATTACCTGCAAGTTATGCGCAATTTGCGCGAAGCAATCCGCCAGAAACGCCCGGATTTGTGGAAGAACAAAAATTGGCTTTTGCACCATGATAACGCTCCTGCTCACACATCGTTGCTTGTGCGCGAATTTTTGACCAAAAACAACACACTAATGATGCCGCAGCCACCCCAGATCTGGCCCCCTGTGACTTTTTCTTATTCCCGAAACTGAAGAGGCCCATGAAAGGACGACGCTACGATACGATTGAGGAGATAAAGACGGCATCGAAGGAGAAGCTGAACAAGATCACAAAAAATAATTTTTTGAAGTGCTTCGAGGATTGGAAAAAATTGGAAAGGATTGGCACAAGTGTATAATATCTGATGGGGATTACTTTGAAGGGAACAAAATAGATATTCATGAATAAATAAATAATTTTTGAAAAAACACAAAATTCGCGATACTTTTTGAACAGACCTCGTAAATCTCCAAATTTATTGAACAAAATAAAAAATTCTTTTACAGGATCAAAGTAGACGCAAAATTGAGAATAGCTGCAGTGGACTTTATACTAAAATCGAAAAAAGTTAAAAACTTATATTTTTTCAACACGTAGAGCTGTTACCTGACATAAATGTTTCCTTAATACAAAAATTTTATAACTCGTATGGATAAAACGACAGTTCAGCACCTAGTGTTTTACGTGCACAAACAATACTGTGTTTGTAAAAGTAATAATAAAATTAAAAAGAAAGATTTATATTATCTGCAAATTGTGTATACAAATGCTGAGCGAAAACTCGGAATGGTAAACAAAGCAATAATTGTGTCTAGTAGTAAGTGTATCCGATCTTGCAAGAGATGGCGTTGCAATATATTGGATAAGGACAGATGCGTTTAAACGAGACAGAAAGCTAATGTAAGAAATGAAATAAAGATGTCACTATTATCGACTTTTTTATTTGGAATTTAAAAAATCTGTGTTATCGATATTAAGTTCGACCGTCACTCCAGCATCCTTTTAAGAATTTTTATTCATTTTTATTTTCATGTATACACACTTACATGCTCGTAAGCACGCACGCACACTGTTTAGAGTTTCTTTGTAAGGCCGGCCACACACGTTCGAGTAAACTTATCAAATACTTGCGCATGCAACTTGTGCAATTTTATTTAAAGTGTATGTCCGGCCTAATAGAAACAAGATTCCTTGATGATTCAGCCAATAAAGGCAAAATCGAAGGACGATCCATGCTATAGCACTACGTTTACATCCGATGTTATAACTACTGACAACGATATTATAATTGCTGACGTTAGATGCCGCGTGAATGCTATTTTACGAAGAAGTGATTACATCGATATAATAACCCATATAGCACAGATGTCCAAGACGTTCTGAAGAACATCTTGAGAATGATATCGATGATTACTAGAATCCGGATTATTCGCCGATGGACGTACCGATTCGAGTCAACCGTAGTGCGTTCTTCATGATTCTCCCCACTGCCACTCGTCCGAAGTCATGGCGAGCGACGGGGCCACAGCTATAAGGGATATATGGTGTAATGGGAAGAGCTAGCTAGA